AAAAATAGATGTGAATCATTTAAAAACTCTCCACGACCTTCAGACTCTTTTGGGAGATATTAATTGGTTGCGTCCTTATTTAAAGATTTCTACTCATCAATTGTCTCCCTTATTCCAACTGTTAGAGGGGGATATGAGCCCTCTTTCCGCCAGAACTTTAACTGAGGAGGCCCGTTTTGCTCTAAAAATAGTGGAACAAGCCATAGAGGAATAATACATATCTTATTATGAACCAGGACTCCCACTTCTCCTAATTATTTGTGAATCCCCTGATTGGCCTACGGGAGTATTAATGCAAAAAAGACCTCTTTATTGGATTCATCTACCTCATGCTCACCTAAAAGTCATCAAACCTTACCATGAGATGGTGGCTCAATTATGTCAGATTGGAAGGAAGGCCGCTGTCACCATCTTTGGTAAAGAGCCCAACAGGATTGTGATTCCCTATGATAAAAACCAAAGATTGTACTTGGACCAGACTAGCACCTCCTGGTTCCTTAGCTTCCTAGATTTTTCAGGTGATATTGATAACCATCCTCCATCAGACAAACTCATACAGTTTGCAACTAGGCATAGGTTCATTTTCCCCAATGGACTTCCCCTAAGATAATTAAAGGAGCCCTTACAGTCTTCACAGATGGCTCCTGTAAAGGAACAGCTGCAATAGTTTCACCTCATGAGGCCTGGGCAATTAAGGTGCCTTATACTTCTGCACAAATGGTTGAACTGAGCGCAGTCCTTCTAGCATTAACCCGCTATTCTCAACCCATAAATATTTATACAGATAGCATCTATGTATCCCAAGCTGTGCCTAAGTTAGAGACCGCAGGAAAAATTTTAGCAAAAGGAGATCTTTTAACATTGTTTGAGGGCCTACAAAATTGCATTCATGGGCGTTCCGCCCCCTTTTCTATTCATCATCTACGGGCACATTCAGGGCTTCCTGGACCCCTTGCTGAAGGAAATGCAAGGGCAGACGCACTCACAAGAGTATTCCCTGTTAACCTTATCAGTCCACCCCTAAAAGCAGCGGCCCAGTTTCATAGCCTACATCATGTTAATGCCCAAACATTAAGGAAAATGTTTCAAATCACCAGAGAACAAGCCCGAGCCATAGTTAAAGAATGCCGAAATTGCATAGTACATTTACCAGTCCCTTCCTTGGGGGTCAATCCTCGTGGCCTTCGAGCCAATGCCCTATGGCAGATGGATGTAACGCACTGCCCCATTTTTGGCCGTTCCAAGTTTCTCCATGTAACAGTGGATACCTTTTCAGGAATGATTTGTGCCACTCTCAGAACAGGAGAGGCCCTCAAAGATGTTATTGCACATTTGCTTCATGCCTTTGCCTATATGGGCAAGCCTCATGCCATTAAGACAGATAATGGACCAGCGTATTCTAGCGCTGGCTTCCGCGCTTTCCTCTCCACATTGCAGATTTCGCATTCCACTGGAATTCCCTATAATCCTCAGGGACAAGCTTTGGTTGAACGTTCCCACTGTACTTTAAAAATCGCCTTAGAAAAGTTAGGGGGGAATCCCCTCTCTGGCAGCTATTCACCCATGCATAGATTACATCATGCCTTATTTGTTATAAATTTCCTTCTTTTGGATGATGCGGGTAACACTCGAGCAACCCGCCACTGGGGATTGTGTCAATCCCAAAAAGCACAGGTGCTTTGGAAAGATGTCCTTACAGGACAGTGGAAAGGGCCCGATCCCCTACTCCATTGGGGAAGGGGTTTGGCTTGTGTCTTTCCGCAGGATGCTGATCAACCGCGGTGGATCCCAGAGCATTTAATCAAACAGATTAATGCAAGCCATGAAAAGGACCAAAGACAATCCTCCGGTGTTACTTCATGGGACGTCATTACAGACTCTGTTAATCCCTTAAAGATAAAGATTGTGAAGGCTCCTCCTAAGAGCTAATTCTTCCTGCTTTTCCATCTTATGTGCTTTTTCATACTTTGCCTATCATAGTAAATGATTATTTTTTACATCCACAAATAGAAGGTTAATAGTAAATGAGACAGAAAAATATTAGGAAAGCTATAAGTAAGAGTTATGCTTTTGCATCTTGTTAAAAACAGGTAAAGAAAAATATACAAGACCAGAAGCTCTAAGTATATAGAGAAGGTGTGTGGAAATCATTTACAGTCAAGAAGAGCTTTCATTCCTTTAACCCTAATTCAACAAGAGATCTCTGTTAATTTTGATCTGCAAAAATTTTGACTAGTCATAACAAAAAGATTTTATAATTCAATTGGCCAAAACCATCTGAGTGCACTCATTAAAATTGTCTTATATGTTTGTCTGTCTTAAGTGTTATATGTTTGTCTGTCCTAAATGTTCAAAGATGTTTGTATGTTCTTGATCAAAATGATGTCAAATATAAATAGATTTTTGATTTCTACTATCTGGCTTTATAGGATCAAGTAAAAATTTAAAAGATAATTAAATATAACCTTTAAGTTTGGATACGCTCCTGTTGGTAAATAAAGAAGCAGCTGCTCAGAAAATTTATTCTGATCTTTGTTCACCAATGGGAGCCACCAAAATAATTTTCATAGCCTTATAAAAAGATATGCCTTGTTAAATATGTTGTTAAAAAAGTCTATATTGGTTATTCACCAAGGCCTGCACCAGCCTCCCACCGCTCACCCCTGACCTCTTGTAAGCTTCCAGGAGGCAAGGTCATGGAGACGAAAAGGGGGAAGAAAAGAGGAAGTTGCTTCAACCTAATCTGGTAGACTGCGCATAGCAGCCGGGCGGAAGTGGCGTAAGGTGAGGGCACCCAGGAGGCTGAGTAAGCACCGCCTCACTGGCATTTTTGGGCTGGGTAGATCCTGTTTGGCTTAAAGCTTCTAGGAGTACTTGAGCCTCACTGATGCCCAGCAGAAAGCCTTGGACTTTTGTTGACTTGCTGGCCTGTGTTACTGTGATGTAGTTTTTCCTACTGAGATAAAGTGTCTTGTTTTTGTTGCTTGTTAATGGTTCATTTGAAAAAAAAAAAAGGAAGATCCTGTTGATACAAAGCTACATTACAGGACATAAGAATGCATATAATTATAATAATTATTATTGCTACTTTTCTGGTATATAAAATGTATTCATATTGTTTGACCATGCAGGTTTTTCAGCATATTGTTTATGATAATAACCTTTCGGTCTAGGTATTCTCCCTTCTCTTCTGCTCCACCTATTTATGGTTACAGGTACATTTATAGATCTACCACTATCCCTGAACAGCTTGAAGCTGGGTTTCCACTGAGGAGACCGGATTGGGACCTCAACACTGAAGCAGCAGAGAAAAACTTCAGGATGTATCTTGGTGCACAAGCGGAAACTTTATTATCCAGAACAAGGATTTAATGAGACATCACAAAAGTTTTAGACTGGTCACTCGAATATTCCATGGACTTAAGTTTGTCTGCAGAACTTTGGAAAATAGATTCACCTTAGAAAAGTTAGGGGGGAATCCACCTTAGAAAATAGGGGGGAATCCCCTCTCTTTCAAGATTCAAATCACAGATTGTGGGATTTTCTGTTTGTCAGTACTACTGCTAAATATTATTTTTCTGTAATATTTATTCAGTATTGGCGATCATTGTAGTTTTGATAATTTTTCATATTTGTAATTGTTATATGTATCGCAAGATGACAAGAATGTATCAATCTTCTGTGTTTCGATTTGCTATGGCTGTACAAGTTTCAGTAAAGGATGACGCATCTCGGGTGGCCATCTATTTGGCACAAGCCCACCGTACATAATTCCCTCTCTGTGGAGCATCCAGAGACGGGTAAGGACAGGGCATCCTTTCTACAACCTAAGACAGGCAAGAGGGACATAAGCCCTCTTCGCTGAAGACGGGTAAGGAGAAAGGACATCCCTGCCACCTAAGACAGGAGCTCCTTGGCATATGTCTGGCGCCCTCTGCAAGGGCTCATTGACATAAGAAAAACAGGGGAATTATGGAGAGCATTGTAGAAGAACACGACATGAGCGCAGCCATATTGACCTGTGATTCACCCGAGCAGTGTGGACGTGCCGTCGCTATAGCAATGGGCTAGTTCAGCTGGTGGTCTGATCTATTGCCTAGCAGATGTAACCCATAATGGTTGTTATTGTTTCCCTCTGGAATGTGTGGGCGGTACTCTCGCTCCCGTGCAGCCCTCGCTCCCATGCAGCTGGAGAGTAACGTCTCTCTGTCCTCGTCCTTTCAGGTTTAGGACGTGCTGGCAGGATCCTGACGTCGCGGTTTGCGACACTTGATGTTGTCCTGGAGACTATAGCCAGTATAGTAATAAAGGAAAATTTCAAAAGGCATACAGATAGGAAAGGAAGCATGAAAATAATTTTTAATCATTGAAGATATGATTGTATATTCAAATCTTAGGGAGTTAAAAAACACAAAGATAAAAAATACAAAGGAGTAGAAGACTAATATAAAAATCTGTTATATTTCTATATACCGTCAATAAACGTGGAAATATTTTGAGTAACATTTTTTCAAAATAACAGGAACAAATTTGAGGAAACAATTTTATGATTTCTACACTGAAAATACAAAAATATTACTGAGAAAGTGAAGAGAATCTAATAAAAGATGTACTATGTACATTAATTGGAAATTTCAATATCATTAAGATGTCAGTCCTCCCCCAATCTATTGATTCAGTGCAACCCTAACCAATATCCTATTAGGTTTTCCTTCTAAGAAATTAATATGATCCCCTAATATTTTAATGGGGAAGATACAGGGCAGTAGAAACAATTTTGAGAACAAGTTTGAAATAATCATAGTATCGACATGGCAATGACACATAGACAAATGGATCAGGGGAATCTGAAGACAGATAGTGGTGTTAATGTCAAATGAACTGTGACCAAAGTACCATTGTAGTTCATTAAGAAAGAAATGGTAGGAGAACTGGATACTTCATTCTTAAAAAATGAGTCTGGACCTCTACCTCCCGCCATACAGACAAACATAATGTACCTGTTGAGTCACTGCTGCTGCTAAAGTGCCCCCGGAACTGTCTCCTGAGATGCAAATTCGACTGGGATCTACTCCATATTTTGAAAGAATTTTATCCTGAAGGAAAAACTTCACTGCAGTAACACCATCTTCAAACTGAGCAGGAAAGTGATGCTGAGGAGCTAGTCTGTAACTTTAAAGTAGAGCAATAAAACACTTATTGTTATATCTGTCACTCTCAAATACCAAATAGATGCAGTTTAATACCAGACTTTCAACCTTCAAAAAGTGAGGCTTGGCTTTTCTACTGTTGATTAAATTGAAAATCAGTGTGAGATCATAAAGTGCAATAAAGCAGGCACACAAGCTTAAACACCCCATGGAATCTCTTCTTGGAGAAACCAAAAATATAAAAAACAGCAAAACAAAAGATAGATATTAGGAAATAGAAAGATCTTTTGCAAAAGAGAAAGGGGACAAGTGAAGCAAAGAAAGGCAAGGGAGAAATCGGTACATAAATGACAAAAGAATTAAGATGAGTTATGTACATACACCAACACCCCCAGAAGGAGTGTAATCATTGTGTACTTCAAAGAAGTACTAATAAAAATTTTGAAAAGAAAAGGTGTTTCAATATTGTATATAAAATCAATAGATGGCCTTGTGTTTAAGAAGTCAGAGGAGTGTAGTGAAATTTCTTAGAAATACAAACAAAATTTTTAGCACAGACGTATTATGGATTGGAAATGCTCTGTCGATAATTTTATGTTCTCAATGTAATCGGTGATCCAAGCACTTAAAAAACTCTTTTTAAAAAAGAATCACGATTTTTTTGAAGGCAACAACATATCTGAGTTTATATTCTAGTCAAGAGACCTATGCTTTTCAAGTTTGCTTTGATCAAATTTCTTTCAGCAGGTCACTTATATACTTTATTATAGATATTGTCCACACCTTGATTCTAGGGTAAATTTTTAAAATATAAATAATACGTTACTGTGTCACAGAGTGTTCTTATTTCTGATAAATTCATTTGTAAGAGAAATTATCACAACATTGCTCTGATGGTTACAAATGGATTCTCCCACACACATATGTACACAAATAAAAACAGAATATGATTAAGAAATGGCTCAAATGTGTAAGAGAAGCACAAATTATATCACTATATAAAATAGATTTAAAATGATATGATTAATATTACCCCAAAGTTATAGAAGTAAAAAGGACAATATTCTAAGATTAAAATTTAGAAATACCCACTAGAAGTTTTTCTGGCTACTAAAAGTCTGCATGACGGCTGTGTTGCAACCACTTTCTTCTGATGATCAAATCTTTATTTAAGTTTCTCTCTAAATTTTAGCTTCCTAGTCAAATCAAAACTATGTGACTATGACCTATAAAAATTATTGGATTAGAAATTTCTATGACTTTGTTACTATGAAATAGCAAAAATTACTAAGAAAAAAATTCTTGCTGAGTATGATAGGTCTCAGAACCAGTTTTTGTTGTCAGAAATTCAGATTATGCCAGTATGAGTAAAAAAAAATTCAATTGTCCTCTGATTTCCTGGTATGACGCAGAAAAGTGCAGAATGTAGGATCCCTTTTCCTGGGAATAGATTAAAATTTTCAACTGGTCTCAATCTTCATCATCTACATCAGTCCAAACTAGAGTTGAATCAAAATTAAACATTTTCTTACCAGCTCAAATAAAACCCAATACCTCAAACATGTAATGATTAATTTATTTCCCCTTGTCCAGCTATATTATGTGGGACCCAACCCGGGCTTTGTAGAACCTGAATTTCATATGTCTAGAACAAATGCTCACTCTAGTCTGTAATTCAGATTCCTACAATTACAGGAAAATAGTAATATATTTGGATTCTTTGAGGAGCAGTCTATAGAGCAACCATAGCAAGCAAATTATATTAATTTTTCAAAATTATATTTAATGCATAGATGACTTAAATTGCAAATCAAACCTCTGTATGTTGAAGGAAAAATTGCAATAGAAAAATTGCAAAGAAAATCATTCTCTTACTCCACTCCTACAACGACAGCATCAAGTTTATTTGCAGTCCATCTGTTCAGGAAGTCAAACGCCCTCTGCTCTGAAATGAAGAAAGAAATGTTAAAATACTTCCCGTAATGAAAAAGCAACAGACACAGTGATAGCTATGAGCCTAGGAAGAGATGCGGTTTGTGAATGTTTCATAGGAGCCTTTATTTCCACCCCTATTTCCACAGAGTGCAATTTGATCAACAATACACACTCTCATATCAGTTTCTTCAATTTCTATCTAGTGATGAAGAAATTATTTTGCCGATTGATAATGTGATGATGAAAATCTAGGCTCACCCCAAGCTAATTTTCTCTTGTCAGTGCTGTTTGTACACAATGACATGTCCTAGGTCCCTTCATAGCCTGGTGCAGTTTACTTTGCTCAGGTTTTCCAACCACCAATTTTCATGGGCGAGAGGTGTGATCTGTGAAGATGGGTAGCCACTTGCTGGGTCTCTAATTCGAGAGGGACATTTCAACACCTTTACTAGAAGTAATAACATTGCTTTCACTTTCTCTTGCCAGAATTCTGTGCATAATTATCAAGAGAAAATAATAGTTATATATTATTTTTCTAAAACAATAGCATTCAATAACAAAAGCTGTTGTTTTCTCTGAATATATGTAGTAATGAGGTGATTTATTAATGTCATCATTAAAATAGAGACTAATGAAGAGCAACTAGATTATTAGAGAGTTTATGACGAGTCCTTGTGCAGACTTGGATGTGCATGAGTTTTGACACACTTGGCATACAGCCCTTGACTCAGACCCAATACCTGCCCCTGCCTCAAACACACATACACCACATCTTTCTCCAAGTATCCATAGATTCCATCTACCAGTGCTCTGGACACACAACTTGGCAAATTCTGTGATTTGTCCTACAGTTTAATTTCCTTCAAGATCCTGTAAATTCAGAGAATTTTAGTGTTGTGATCAAATTACAAATTTTATAATTTTCTAAAGCTGGTCTTAACTACTGGGAGAATGACAATATGGAAAACAGAATAGTAAATCAGTCATTCTTGAGTATAAAAAAAGTTTTTTATTAGAGATTTAACTGAAAACTTGCAGGCAAAATAAATGCATAAATGAAGACCACAATATAGAAGACATAAAAGCTTCCTGATCTTTACATTTAAAGCCCTTCAGTAATATATTTCAAGCCCGTGACTTTATTCATCTCACAATCCATTTATATTTCTCTTTAGAGTTAAAGACAAATTAATTTTTTTGTTTCCCATTTTTATTTTAAACTGTCTCAACTACACTATATTCACTGATATAATCTGTATGATCACAGTTTTTTCTATTCAATTCCCATTTATAGAATTTAAATTGCATTTTGTAAGTAGAGACAAGATTTTGGGATATTGAGAAACAAGAACCAAATTATGTAAAAAAAATCTAGGGGTGCAGCATTTTCCTACTATTTCTTAGTTGTCAAAGCAAATTTGTCATTTAGGCAGGGGGTTAAGTCAGGGTCTTGCTAGGTAGTTCACGCTGGCTTTGAACTCACTAAGTAGCCCAGGCTGGCCTCAAAACATGGCAATCTTCCTGCAACAGCCTCTTAAGTGTTAGGATTACAGGTGTGCACTACCACACTGGGGAATATTTTAAAGAAGAAAAACAAGAGCAAGTCTAGGTAAGCAAAGAAAGAAAATTGAAATTTGTAAACATCAGCAAGTAAAGCCAGAGAAAAACACATGCACATGTGTGCAAGACAAAAAAAATATTTCACGTAACTGAATGAATAGTTTCCTTGAGGTAAAGTGGAAAGCCACGCTAGAAGGATTCTCTGAAAGAAAAATCCTAGTTCATGAAGTGTTCAGAGAACAGAAAACAATTCGGGGCAAATGAAACAAAATTCTGTGAGGGGTCATTGACAACAGACAGGAAAGTTACCTGTAGGAGTGGGGAAGGCTAAAAAAATTTTAATTTATTTCATTGAGGAATGAGAGTCACTGAAGAAATTAGAACCCAAAATCATATAGGCAGAACTGCGTGTTAGAAAGATCCATCATTAAATACAGACGAGATAAAGCTGAACAGGAAAGAAGTAGAGCAGAGGTATTAGTAAGGAGTACCTCTGAAACATCCTGGAGTACCAGATTATCTAAATGAGTAAGATATAAAGACGTAGAATGTAGGATCGAGGGACAAACATGGTAAATAATTAGTATTTACTGAGAGAATTTAAGAGGTTGAGATATTAATTCAAAGGTTATTTGGCTTCTCAGGCTGTTCAGACATCATACATAGAATTGTGCTTGTAGTACTAGAATGGTCCATGGTTTGTCCAGCGATAAATATCGGTTGACCATTGTAAACAAGGATTCAGAACTGGACATCAGGAGCCTACGATCATTGGAAAAGAAAAGGGATTGGAAAAGTAAATATGTAGAGGAAAAAAAAAAGCAGAAAACCTGGAGGCAATTAACACTGAGAAGAATATTTAGGAAATTTATAAACGAGGAAAATATGTTGTTCTGTTTCATTTGTTTTCAAATGTGGGGGAGACAGATGAAAACACAATGAATGGCAGAAGGGATTCTAGAAGATACTTTGTTATAGAAATCAAAGGCAGAACAGTGAGTTAAAGGAAAAAAGTTGTCCCCTTGAGTAGAAAATAAAGCTTGAGAAATTAATTTAAAGTGGAGACCCATGGAAATAGGTAAAGATTGGAGTGGATGGATAGCAATAAGCCTGAGGAAAGAAAAGAAAGTAATAAGAGATGATCCCAGCACTTGGAAGGCTGAGGCAGGAAGATAGCTGTGAGTTTGAGGCCAGTTTGGGCAACATAGTGAGACATCATTTTAAAAAGGTACCAAAAATGTGAGGGCATAAAATCCCTGAAGTCTTCCATTTGCTCTGCAATAGTTATAAACTTGATATCCAGCAGACGGGGGTTGTAGACGGGAGGGCCTAGGGCCTAGGTAGGCTGGACTGATGCAGATTAATAGTCACTGATGGGAAGGAGATGTACAATCGATGATACACATATTCCAAGATTTCTGAACCATGTTAGGGACACTGGTTACCAGAAAGAATCTAGAGTAGTGTAGTACTCTTACCGTTAGATTCAACAAGTGCTGGGGGCTAATCTGAAATGCAAAATTTTCAGACCTTACTAACAGGTTACTGAACCAACAGTTCTGCAGAAAGAGCCCAGTCTTTTAATGAAAAAATAAAGGAATATTTTATAACAAAATAATAGTAGCATAACAATAGTTAATACACCATGTCATCTTCAAAGTAGTTCCTCAGAGTACAAAACAAACTGAAAATGTTCTTACAAAGCAGAATAACACAAAACTTTCTTTTCAATTGTTTTATTTTTTAAACAATGAAATGTGTAATTTAGAAAAGTACTGTATTTGAGCTCCTTCCTACTTTCTATATTTCTCTCTTCTATTTTGTTCTTTATTATGGTTTCTCTTATATGAGAAATACAAAGGTATATAAATATACAGATAAAGACCAATGACCTTTTTGACAAGCCCAGGAGCTAAGTAACACACACTGAACTACTGAAATTTGAGTGCCTGAGAGCACTGCCTACTGCCTTGCTACTAGGAGTAAACAACCCTTCCTTCTCAGTGTGAATTCACTTTCTCAGTTTCTATCAAAATCTTTGAAGGGAAAAAGTACTCATGTAGATTCTATGGCTTATATGCAGAATATCTGCTTCCTGGTACATTATAAAATTCATCTCTAAATCATATCCCAAAGAGTTTTTACCTTTACTGTAACACATAATACTACCTCCTCCTAACATTGCTTTTTTTTTTTTTTTTGAGACAGGGTCTCACTATGTAGTTGAGACTGACCTGGAACTCACTATGTAGCCCAGGCTGGTCTCGAACTCACAGTGATCCTCCTGCCTCAGCCTCCGTAGTGCTGGGATTACAGGCATGCACCACCATGCCCGAATGCATTGCTTTTCTAAGTATATGTCTTAGTGTCATTCTCTCAGCCTGCTCTTACATGGATTATCAGAAAATCAATAGATCATTGTGAGGGTGAGCTCTAAGTTATTTCTCATAAAACAGGAAGTGTTTCTTCTAGGTCAAAGACCTGAATTTCTCATCACAGTTTAGAAATTATGTAGTTTTTTTTTTTTTTTTCCAGAATGTGAAGAGGATAAAACAAACATGGGAAGAACCTTATTTCCCTCAGCCTCCTATTTTTCCCAGGCAGTTTATTTTGGGAACTTTGACTCATTGATAAACACAAGCTGTACTAAAGCAATCTGTCCTTGCAGTTTTCAAAATTGTACCAAACAATCCAAGCAAGAGTGATGAATAAGGACTGATCCTCAACCTTAAATTTTCATTAAGTTTGCAATGCAGCTGCCTACGCCAAAGCTGCAAAAACACATACTCAATTCCTCTATGTGTTAGAAAAACACAGAGAACAAAATGCAGTCTTGCTTTAGTTGAGGAGTCTGTGCACTCTTCAAATATTCCTGGGTGCTAGTCTGTAGAGTAAATTATTTCATCTTTATTTAAATATCTTAAATAATTGCCTTTTAAAAAGTTGCCAGAAAATTTGCAACTGAAAACTAAAAAGCTAAAATTGCATCCTAACCATTTTAGCATTTTGAATTTAAATAGTCTTTTTGTGCACCATTAATTTTCCATGATTGTTTTCCATTGCCCAGCATGCATTGTGTGTCAAATGAGACAGAGAAAGTCAGTGTGTAAAAAAATACATAATTGATTGTACTTTCCTCAATTTCATCCACTAATTTAATGGCACTATTTTATTTATATAAAAAGTTTCCCCATATATTGGCAGCATTTTATGATAGAATTTTCTAAAGTTTTTATAAAGATAAATTTATTCATGTTTTTATTTTAAATCATGTATATGTATCTCTTAGAATCATCACCAGAAATAAGTAGGCACATAACCTTCAAAAGGAAATTTATTATTTCATGATCTATTTTGCATGTTTCTTTTAGAATTGAAACAACAACCTGCATCCTAAGCTTTACTACTTGTGTTTTTCTTATTATCACCTACAAACATGATTTATAACAAAAGTACATTGTTCTGATTTGCCATTAAAACCTCTTCACCACGTCAAAGTTTCTGTTCTTAAATATATTCTTATACAAAAGGGAAACATTTTAGAAAATGACTTGTTCATGCCCTAGTTGTGTTTGATACATATTCATCCAATATGAAACCTTAAAATAAAATGCTTACTGAAAGAAGCAAAACAAAACCCAAATTCAAAAATATTCATGCTGTTTGTCAAACACGTCTATGACTTTCTGTATTAGATATCTAATATCTATAACTGTTTTATGAATATGTAAATAATTACACATATTTATATACAATAGATCATACATAAAAATGTACACCTAGTAATTCTTCTTCTTTAGATGATGAACTTACTGAAACTTCCAAAGCAAAAAGCACCACCATGCATATAGATGATAGCTCGTCTTAGTGTTTCTGCCTTTCGTCTCGGTACATACAAACGTACTGGGATGTGGAGAAAGTCTGTATCAATCACTGTGATATATTCATCTGAAAGGGGTTCAGTATAATCCATCCTGAATATCACAGAAATAAATTCTTCATATCTCATAATGCCTATATTTTCAAAACAAATACCCTGTAAGAGCAAAACAAAACTAACATTAAGATCTGTAAAGAACATCAAATGTATATAAAGAGAAAATACAAGAGAGAGGAAGAAAGCACAAACAATATGAACAAAAAATGTTAATACTGTGAAGATCTTACTGAATGACCTGGCTGTATTTGAAAAGCTCTAGTATTCAGTACTTTAGATTAAAAGTTTTCTGACTCAAAAAACATCTTTACTGGCAATTGTTTTATTCATGTTATAATTACTTGTTAAGTATAAATTCTTATCAGAATATTTTGTATGTCTTACAACTCCTCTGCTCTTTTCCATAAGCATGTTGTCATATTTTCCTTTTTAATTATTTTATCTAATCCAAATTTTAAAATACTCATTTGACCATACTTTCAATGATCTAAATTTCCTAGTTTTCTACTCTAATAGATAAGCACTCTTTCCCCATTCTCTTAAATCCCAAATTTGATGTCGTTGACAAAATCTCTCCTTAGTTTTTATGACCAGCTTCTCTAGGACCATTGTAACAGATCGTTGGAGAGATTACTCTAAAGAAAACCCTTAAAAGATGTATGGTCATCTTAACACTAATGCAATTCTTCTGAAGAATTTGAGGCATTTAAAAGTGGTTTAAAAATGCATCCTCTATGGTTTGATCCAGAAGTACTCAGAAATTTTGTTGCAACCACAGCTCAATTGCTCATCAACTGATGACTGGGTTAAGAAGACATGTTTTTGTTTTGTTTTTTTAATATATAAAAGGGAGTACTACAAAGCCATAAATAATGAGAATCTAGAGACATTTGTAGCTAAATAGATGCACATTGAGGCCATACTCTTAAGTGCAATTAATAGGATACACATGTGTAAATACCAATAGTTTCTCTGGTGTGATAACTCGAAAGTGTAAATAAGAATCAAAATGTACAATAGATAATGTGAATTAGGAAGAAAAGATCCAAAGGGGATGGAGAAGTGGGAGAGGTAGGGGAAAGGAAAGAAGGGAAATAAATAAATATGAGAAAAGGAAAAAGTGGAAACAAAGTCTTTGAAAATAGGGAGAGGTGGAGGAGTTGAAGGGAGGACAGGGAAATGGGGAGAAAAAAAATAAGAACCAAGATATATCATGTAAGGAACAAATTTCCAGGGGTGACTGTCATCATATTGTACACCTAAAATGTAGCAATAAATTTAATGAATTAAAAAAAGTACAAAGTACAGGTTTGTATCCATTTTTCTAAATTAGCTTCTTATGTCAGTCATTATGAGTTGTGGGCCACTGAGGAAAGTACTCTTTTCCTTATATCTACAATCATTGTAATGATAATAAAAATTCTCTTAATGGGCTATACTAGGATTTAAATGAATGTGTACTCTCAATGTGTATACAATACAAGCATATCTGGCACATACTAAGTGTTCAGTAAATTTCATCTTATCATTATTAATTATTGTTTCTCACTATTAATTTTTAGTATTTTCTTAAAATTGAATGCAATCTGGTAGAATAGCCTTTAAAGTCAGTTTTTGAGAAATGGGTAAGTTTACTTTTTTATTAACCTTAAAATTAAATTTAATGACTTTTTAAAATTACATTATTTGGCAAATTGTCTTATTTCTCATAGCTTTTTCTGGCTTTGAATAGATATATGTATATGAGATGTATGATATATTTAAAATGTACTAGTTTAGAGATTATTTTGTATTCTCCTAATATGCATGATCTTTAATATAGACATACAGACAGCAATCCTGCAAGGTATATATAATTAATACTCCCATCATTAAGTTTAAAAAAAAAAGCATATAATTAGGGACTAAGGAAATTTTCCAAGATTGGTCATGTATTTTTTTTCCTGCAATATCGGTCTTCCACAACAACATAGGACTGCAAAATATTGCATTTCCTTTCCAAGGACACTTTTTCAGAAATTTTAATTCTTACTTTTTCTTTATATGTTAAATAACAACTATTCCTTCTGGTATCACAACTTAGAGTTACAAAATTCAATCCGGACAAGAGTAAAATTATTTTTCTTAAAGCAGCAAAAGATTTTGAAATTTGTTAGAACAATATTTAAGTTACTTACATGTGTATTTTTATTTAAAAATAAAAGATAATGCATAATAATTAATATATAAAGTCATGATTTCATTATAGATGGACAGTGGTGAAAATAATTTGAAGGTGAGAAAGTAAAAGTAGAATTTTATTTTTATTTTTTTTTAGACAGGGTCTCACTATGTAGTTGAGACTGACCTGGAACTCACTATGTAGGCCAGGGTGGTTTCAAACTCACAGTGATCCTCCTGCCTCAGCCTACCGAGTGCTGGGATTACAGACATGCACTACCATGGCCAGCTAAAAGTAGAATTTTAGAGGTTGTGTCACAATACATCAGTTTCAGTCACTCTGAGTTTTAAACATGTATGTCAATCAAGGGAGACTATATAACAATTTACCTGTGGAGCTGCTTATCAACATATTGTTCCATTTATACACCAAGGAGTCAAAGAATTAAAGAAAGAGACAGTTATGGTGAAAGTAATCTCCAGAAGAGATTAGAGGGAAAACGTAAAGATTCAGAAGACACCAGCCAGAGCCGGATGGGGTTTCCTAGGACTGCAGCCTGCTGTACAGAGCAAGCCTCTTCCTTGATATTCCATGGATCCCTCTCTCTTTGCTGATCATCTGCTGCTGTTGTTGCCTTCCACTTTCAGCAGCTAATCATTTCTATTATCCAGGAAATTTTCAGGGAAATACTTGGTGTGCAGAAAGAATACACATTTTAAAAGTAAAGCAGTCCTGGAATGAAATTTTAAAGTTTTTAATTTCTACCTGAAGATATTTCTGAATATTTCTTTCTCTTTTATAAAATGATAGAAATTATTGGGAGATAGTGGAGATGGTTAGAGATGTGTTATGAAGCTCTGCACATTTTAAAGCTTAAAATGTTAGTTTCTAACTACAAAGGAGCGACTTTTTATATGAACTCAACCTGTTTTGCATATTCCAAATCAGACAATCTCTGAAATCCATCAATTTAGAGGTAAAGATGGAAAATTGAAGCAATAGAGATACCAAGATATCAAACAGGTACAAACATCAATACTGCATATCTGTGCACTATAAATATGAGACGCTATGTCCTTGAATATACAAGTGACAGTCAAATTAACAGATAAACCTCTAAACATTTCCCTTTAAAAACACCATTTTAAAAATGTATAGCACAGGAAAGAGAGACTTCATTATAAACTCCGGAAAAAAGAAACCTACTTCACCCTGTTTTAACAAATGCAACAAGTTTTACATACTTAATGTTATTTAGATGTATTACCCCGAAAAACAAGTTATGTTTCTCACAAGATGATAACTTTCATGCCATTAATTTTAACAGCTCACAGGCACTGATTTTTTATCAAATGGCATCACAATATCTGAGAAAGAAAGAAATATTTGTCTTACCATAAATGTACAAGTTTTAGCAATTGCATCCAAGGCCATTACTTTCCAGCTTTCTTCAATATTGTCAGGTATGGGTGTGTAAAGATGAGCTAAAAAGAGTACACACAGCATTCCCAAACAGAAAGTTTTGAAACCCATAATATCTCTTTTCAGTCTCTTCACAGTGCTGAGATTAATTTTTTTTCCTTAATTATTGAATTACAAGCAATAAAGCAAATGTACACTGGGAACCTCTCAAATGATATAGTCATCTTAACAACATGAAACTAAATTTTCAATTCACATATTACAACATCAATAGTAACTTGTTTTGCAACTGCACAGACTCTGAAACATATGTTGTAATCCCTCAGGTTATTCACTATTCTTTTCATGTAATTAAAGTTTCCTAAGCATGGTGTTTCTTCATCCTTCAATTATACCCATCAGCACCAAAGATAGTTTTATTACTGAGACCTAAATCATAGCCCAAGTACAATAGTCCAAAGAATGAGTTTTGATATAAAATTCTGTGCTACATTTGTTACATTTTGTAAGATGTTTTAATAAATAGATTGAATAGCTGGTATTTAGCTAGAATTCAAACTAATGCCATTAGCATACACTAGTAACTAAGTTAAGAATCTCTGCTTGTGGTACACGAAGTCTAAAAGTTTTTAAAAAGCTGTGGAATTTGTCCAAGTTACATCACTTACGAAGCTAGAACTTTTTAATTGGCTAAAACACTAGGAAATTCAGTCCAAGTATCTTAGGAAACATTCTGTGTTTTAGAGAATTATAGAATGTGGTGGTTAATTTTGTGGCTCTCCTTCACTGGACTAAGGGGATGCCTGATAGCTTGTAAATCATTTTTGTGTGTGTTTCCAGAAGAAATTAGCATCTGAATTGGTAGACTGAATAAAGGAGATTACTAACAGGTATGGATGAGTATCATTCCATCCACTGAAAGCCTGAATAGAATTTTTTAAAATGAAGAGGCCTGGTGAACTTACTCTCTCTTTTGCAACAGAAACATTGTTATAACTCTAATTTACATTAATGCTATCCCAGCCATATTTTTCAGTGTTTTTCATGTAAAGTAATTTATTAAACATGCATGGATGGTTTGTTAGTTGTTCACTGTTTAATGATGTGAGGAGGAGGAGAACCCTCAGATCACACAGTAATCAGTTTAAAAAAATGGCTGCAGAGTCTTAGATGTCTCTTTCCACACCTCACTTGTGTCACTCAGCTGATTCTTAGAGTCCTTGAAGCTGAAATAAGGTATCTTTCCTACCCTTTTTAGGTTCACTGACTCCCATTCTGGAAAAAAGAATATTTAGAATAGGTCAGAAAGAGGCTTGTGAAGGCTTTATTAGGCAGAGATTTAGCACACACTCAAAAGTGAAATGTAGGCACTCAGAGAAATGAGACGCATCATATTTTGGAGCTGGAAACATTTATCCCTCTCTTGAAGGAGTGGAAAAGCCTTGGACCCTACCCCCTCACCACCCCAATGGTGTTTACTCATACTAAAGGAATGGGAATTTCAAAAAATAGGTAATCTGATCCTATTCTTTGGGTTCACTCAACCTGCTCTTCATCTTGGGATCAGGCTCTTAGTCCCTCACTTTTTCAATTAAGCCAATATATGGACTTTTACTCTTCCATTGGATATTTAAATGTGATGAGTCTCATAGCTAAAGAGTCTACATTTAACCAAGGAACTCTGATATGTGACACCTTGGGTAACTTGGACTGGTTCCTGGAAATTGCTGTCTCTTAAAATATAATTTTTTACTTATCATTTCTTTGTCTCCTTTTTACCTATCTTTCATTTTTTTGATACCCATGTCTATCTAAGGTTTCATTATGGAAAGTAATGTATTCTCTATTTCTTCTAGGCTAAAATTCAAATTTCTCAATAAAACATTGTATATTTCCAATCATATTCACAGTGTCCCTGCTATTATCCTATAATCTGCACTGAATTCAGTTTCTGGAAGTGATCCTGTAGTAACAAATTATAGAGAAATTTCCCACTTAATGATCAAGTTATGTTCATGTGATTACATCATTAAATAAAGAGGTGGCTAAATGAGTAATTGTATATAGTGTGCACATTACAATATCCAGAACAAAGAAATGGTCAAAAGAAATTCAAACTTGATAACTTTTTTCTTTTATTTGCATAATTTACATGCAGTACTGTAATATAACAACATAAAACTACAGTACTGTTCTGTACAGTACATTCAGCAAAAATTACAGTACTGTATAAACAAGGTGTACTATACAAAAAAGACACTGAGAATCTATAAACAAGATATACAGAATTGTACAATAAAAGAGCCTCTTTAAATCTGAGTGGCAGTTCAAAAGACTGAATAGCATGCTTTGGTCATGAGTCTGAACAGTCATTATACAGGTGTTGTTAAATAAAGAACGTCTTTACAAAGCTTCTGGATCTTTTGGCATATTTTTCTTTATAAATGAGTCTCCACAATTTCTCTCTTACTTCATCACCTTAAATACTTTATGCATGCAATTTTTAGCTCAAATTCTATCTATGCTGTTTTTGTAACTACTGACAGTTACAGTTGATTAATTAATATTTCTTTAGCTCTTCCTATTTATTTCATCAGCACAGGGTAATAACTTCCAACATGTTAGAAGCCAGATATGTCAAGTTTGTATCTCCTGGAGAGACCCACCATAAAATCTGTAAGCGCATGCATATCCTGGGGAGCAGCTGTATGGACCAGAGGGACTCTGCTACAGGTGGACCCCAGCCAAAGGCTCCACCCCAACCCCAAAGGCCCACCGAGAAAAGAGCTGCATGGGTTCACAAGCTTTAATCTGAAGCCCACCACACCATCAGCCACAGCCAAGGGCCAGCCTTGAAAAGAGCTAGACAGACACAAGCAACGACAGCCAGAGGCTCACCCCATACCAGGGATAAGTGATCAGAGATGCTAGGCAGAACCCTGCACAGACAACAGGAACTGGGGCACACAGCCCCCAGGCAAAGGCCCTCCCAGACAACAGCTACATAGCGGCCTCAGAGAGAGGCAACTTAGATGCCATCCCAAGAGTGCACGGGCCCCAGCCAGAAGCCTGTCTAGTCCACAGGTCAGCTTAGGGATCCAGGCAGCCATTCGGAACCCAGGAATTGGTGTACTGGTGAGCAGCAGAGAAAAGGCTACTTGGTGGCTTGCTGAGAATTGAAGACAACTGGGTGAGCAATAAGTTGTCTCAACAAAGGCACAGCAGGTTGCATCTGTTGAAATGAGAAAACATGTAAATGAGTCTCAGAACCAGACTTCCAGATCACCTAAGGCAACCACAAAGGGCAATGACATGGAACGATCTGATAATCAACTCTACACCCTGGACTGGCAATGAAAGAGGACCTGGAAAAATGAAATTAGAAATAATTTCTCAGATAACAGAAGAGATTATTCCCATAGTTCAAGACATGATTAGCAAATCTAGAGTGGACACAGATTTTAAAAACTAGAGGAGCTGAGGAACATCATGGGATCCCAATTTAGGAAACAAATGGAATCCAATCAAACCAATTTCCAGGAGACTAAAAATTCCATTGAAAGTTTACACAGCAGAATGAGTCAATGTGAGGACAGAATTTCTGATATAGAAGATAGGATTGCAATTAGTGACCAGAAAAAGAGAAATTTCTTAAAAATAGTAAGGGACCACGAGAAATCAATCCAGTGGCTGCTAGATGACTTAAAGAAGAATAACATAAGACTGATCAGAGTCAATGAAGAAATAGGAGAGAGTGCAGATCACACACACACACACAAACACACACACACACACACACACACACTGTTCACAGAGGTAATGGCAGAAAATTTCCCAAGTAGGGGAAAAGAACTTGGAATAGAGATAAGTGAGGCTTGTAGGACTCTAACTAGCCATGATAAAAAAATAAATAAATCTACACATAGGCATATAATAGTTAAGATTCCAGAAACCCAAGAGAAGAACAAAATTCTACAAGCAGTTACAGAAAAGAAACAAATCACATACAAAGGAAAGCCCATCAGAATTACAGCAGACTTCTCAACACCAGCCCTCAAGGCAAGAAGAGCATGAAGTGAGATATTTCAAGTCCTAAAAGAAAACAACCTTTCTGGTGTGAATAAACTATAATAATACATAAGATCCTAACAAGATAATGGACATTGTGAAATGGGAAGAAAATGGCCAAAGGTGTAGGGAACGTGGGAAGGGTAGGGGAAAGGTAATAAGAAAATTAAAAAAAAAATAGGAGAAAATGAAAAAATGGAAATAAAATGTTTGTAAATGGGGAGGAGAGGAGGGGGTGAAGGGAGGGCAGGGACAAGGGGAAAAAATGAGAACCAAGACCTGTCATGTAAAGGTACAAGATCCCAATAATGAATATAACTGTACTGTATACCTAAGATGTACCAATAAACTCAATGAAGAAAAAAAATTAAAAAAAGAAAACAACCTCCAACCCAGATTGAGGTACTCTGCAAAAATATCTTTCAAAATTGATGGGGAAATAAGGTAGTTTCATGACAAAGAGTACCTGAGGAACTTCATGAATAGTGAGGCAGCACTCCAAAACCATTTAAACATATCAGGAGAAGACAGTGAGGATCACAACCCCATGAACCCCAGCAGAATGAATCCATCAGTTATGACAAGAAATTAAATACAATGGAGGAGAATCCATCAAAAATAAAAAGTTATGACAAGGATAAGTCAATATATATGTCAGTTGTAATCATCAATGTTAATGGTCTCAATTCACCAATCAGGAGAAAGAGACTGGAAGAATGGGTCAAGAAGTAAGATCTAACAATATGCTGCATACAAGAAATACACTTAATTCAAAAAGAAAATCATAGACTGAATGTTAAAGGGTGGAAAACAATACTCCTTGCTACAGCAACACCCCCCCCAAAGCAGGATTGGCTGTCCTCTTTGCAGATCAAGTGGATTTCAAACCACACTGATTAAGAGTGATAAAGAAGGACACTACATCGTTGTAAATAGAACAATCCAGGAGGAAGAGATGACAATCATTAATATATATGCACCAAAAACTAGCATGCCTAACTTTATAAAACAAATATATGGACATGAAAAATCAAATAAGCACT